CACATTATGCAACTTTTGCTAAGCGACCGCCTCGTTTCAGCCCGATAACCATTGTCGCTTTGAAGTCACTTCCGAGATAAAACAAAATTAAGCAACAGCTGCACGAGAGATAAGGAGTCAAAGAGCAGCAGAGGACTGACCGGGAAAATCGAAATATTCTCACTTCAAGCCTGATGGAACAACTTCTACGTGGGAAACTTTCCGACTGCGGAGATGCGGTTTCTCGCGCAGGTTTGAGCACTTAAATGGTTTGTTTGCAAATTCAATTTGTGTGAGTCACCGCTGAGAGCACTTGATGCCCTTTGCAAACTATGAATATGTAAATTTGGATCCAAACGGGGGCACGATTTTACAAGAGCGCACTCAAGAGGTGGGAACAAAAGCTCGAACAACAGAAGCGATAAAACCGGTCGGTAAATCCTCCCGGTCCGCGCGTCACGTCGGACCTCGTTAGGCTGCGCAAAGGAATTCGTCGGAGCTCGTAAATCGCCGTCCGTTACGCGGCCTCGAAGCGTCTGTCGGTGTCGCCGCCGCCGCCGCCGCCGCTGCTCTGTTTTTCTTTCTACCGGCAGCTGCTTCTTCCAGCGAAGCCCTCCGTCACTCCGCAGCTGTCGGCTAACAAGAGTTCAGATCTGCTTCCAGCTTTCAGTCACCCACTCAGCCAGCCAGACTCTTGTTTTGGCTCCGCTCGTCCTCGCTCCCCCTCCTCTCTCCATCCATCTTCACGTCATCTTCGTCCTCCTTTTCCTTTTGTTCTGACATTCTCCACAGATATGTTTTTCTTCTTCCTCCTCCCTCTCTATAGGTCAGCCGGTAAATGCCAGCAGCACATGCTACGACAGCCGCAACAAGAAGAAGACATTTTGCACCGACTCGTCTTTCAGAGGCTCGCATGTGAGGGTGTGAATGTGTGTTTTCAGAGGAGAGTTTGTGTTGTTGTGGTTGTGTCCAGACCTCAGTGAAGGTCTACCGCGTCTGCTCAGGTTGCTGATGAACCACTGACCTGAAGTATGTTCTGTTTGGGGTTGTGTGTTGCTTTGTTTGACAAAGTTGACCACAAACTGATCACGTTGGGTTTCCAGTTTACTCTCCAAGCTTATTACGACTATAACAACAATTTTAAACCATTTTACGCAGAAATAATAAAAACATACGACGCGATGTGTCTTGTGTGACGCCGAAACTTAAGAAAAACACTTTGACAAGCTCCATGAAGTGTATTTTTGTATTTTTTTAAATCTACTTTCCATCGCAGCACGGAGCTAACGCAGGAAAACAAATGATCATGTTTGATTTGACGCCTAAAACACTCGTTGCTGTGAGTAAAAGTAAAAGCTTTTCCTCCACCTGACAATAATCCTGCTTTTTCCTTCACTATGAACCCTTCCCAACTCGAGCACACCAGCTCACCTCAAACATGCTCAAACTGGAAACCACAGAAGAAGAAATGAAAGAATGAAGCTCCATCGTGCAAGATTCTGGGACGTTTCTTCAGTTTTTATCGATGAAACTCCAAAAAAGCTGTATCCTTGTTTTTGTCTTATGCGTCGTCTAGTGTTTTGAAAAACCACCATACGTCACGTTAACAAGGTAAAAAATGAGATTTTTCCTCCAGCAGGGCTTCAAGATGGTGCATTTAACATATTACAGCATCAACATAATATGATTTTTATAGTTTTATCTCATTTTGAAGAGAAACATTTTGCTTTTTCTTGTAAGAATTTCAGTTGAAGTTCTTAATATGTGGATCCTAAAGACCTGATTCAGTCAAAATCAAGCTTTTAACATCTCATCTCATCTTATCTGTTACTAATCTTAACAAAACTTGATCTTATCTTATCTTAAAAACCCTGATTTTACCAGTAAGAAGCTGTCTTTAACAGATTAGGGTGCCTTAAAATGCCACAGTCATGTTCTTTTGATGTTTTTTACCAAATGTTTAAGAAAAACATTTTGCTTTTTCTTGCTAGAATTGGAGTTAAAGCTCTTCTGCTATATAAATTAATTCTAAAACAATAACAAAACTTTATTTCTGAAGCTTTTCTAATGTGAAAATACACCAAAGTCAAGTGTTTAACAACCCAACCCATCTTAACTGTCACTAATCTTAACAAAACTTGATCTTATCTTATCTTAAAAACCTTGATTTTGCCTGTAAGATGTCGTCTTTAACAGATTCTGGCCACAGTAATATTCTTTTTTATCTCATTTTTAGGAGAAACATCTGCTTTTTCTTGCTAGAATCAGAACTCCAGCCTCCCTCGGTCTGACCCGTCGTGGCGTTTTGCTGTCCGGCTCAGTTGAAGAGGTTATTTCGGTGCGGGGTTTTCTTTGGGAGCATGTGTGCATCTGTGTGTCGTCAGATGCCGCGCAAATCCATTTAGTTGCCTCTCTGACATGGTATAAATAGCCTGAAGAGCAACAGGGGGATTCGCCCTCTATTATAAGTGTCTAAATATCAGCAGCTATTAGCCTGCCTGTCTCCCCGCGGCTGTTCGCATCATCCCAAACAGCGTCGCTCAGCTGTCACTCAGCCTCGGGCTCAGCCGGAGCGAACGCAAACACATCGGCGGCGCAGGAAACTTTGGTGGAACGAATAAGAACATGTTAACCTGCGCCGGTCCGGTAGTAACAAATTCCGCCTACCAGCACTAAAGCTCGGGCAATTAACACGTCGTCTGAACTTCCTGGAATCTCGACGGGGTTGCCTGGCAACAGCAACCTGAGTTTTGGCGTGGAAAAAACTCGGCCCTGACCTCAGCGCCGTCTGTCTGCTGGCGGAGCAGCGAGCCGGGCGTCGTCGCCGTCAGTCAGGGAGGCAATTACCGAGTCCTACCTGTCACTCCGCTAGCGCTCAGCAACACACGGCGCCACATGTGCAGATATTTCGCAATATCATCTGCAGCTGTTTGCACGACTGTGTGTGTGTGTGTGTGTGTGTGTGTGTGTGGGCTGGAGAGTTCAGCGTGTCGGATTGATTAATTATGCATAAAGCTCTCTTCATAGCTGCACCTCGGAAACTGCGCAACACTCCCGAGGACTCCTTGTGCACAACTCTGATAATTATTCAGAAGTATAAAGGCACGGCGCTGCTTCCCCTCCTCCCGATCCCGCTCGTGACAAGAGGATGAGAAATCGCATGCATCGGGGGGGAAAACGTACGCAACTCTAACGCAACACCGGAGCCGAGGAGGAAAAAACAGAAACTTCTGGGACATTAGGAGAAAAAATGTGTTTCACTCGGCAGCACATGTCACCGGGCTTTTTATTGATGCTGCCTTTAAAGAGCCTTTCAAGACTCGTTCCAGTGTCATTTAAAAAAAAAAACCCACTGTGTTGTTGCTCATGTGTGTGTGTGTGAACGTAGTGTCTGGCAGCCCCGAGCAGTCGATAGATGGAAACAATGCCAGACCTGACTAATCAATAGGCAGCAATCATGAAGAGAGAACGATGATAATCACTTAAACAGATCGGGATCGTAATCAATGGCCGCACTAATTGTCCTCCATTACACAGCTGGTATTGGCGCTCGATCGGCAGAGTTCGTGGGAGCGGCGGAAAGTTTCCGAACAAAAGCCAACTTGGTGAAAAATCTGTGGGTTTTTGTTAGACAGTTGAAGCTTCGTCGGAGCTGTTTGTTGAATCTTAACAACAGAATCTTTTATCCTTATTTAAATGACAATAACACTGGATTTCAGGAAATCAGGTCATTGAACTCTGTGCTCTCTTTTAAGTCACTTCTTAAAACACATTTTTATCGGAGAGCTTTTCCTGATTTTATTTTACAGCTTCTTGGTCTACTTTCTACTTTTATCAGTTATTCTGTGTGCTTATTTTATTTCAGTTTCATTTCATTTTTATTGGAAAGCGCTCAAAGTAGCATTTGATTTGACTAATGTTATGATTGTTTTTATTATTAATGCAAAGTTCAAGCTCTGATTTCGATCTCAGACCTTCTGATAAATATTAACATGCTGAATAAGAAACTGAAAACTAACCTTAAACCTTAATAAATAATCTTTTATTGTGATTATTTTAAAGTGCGGCGTTACTGCAAATCACTACAAACCTATTTCTACTTTTTACCACCAAAAAACACCAGAGACGGCTGCAGTTACTGATTTTAAATCTTAATTTCTGCGTGCATGACGATAACTGAAGATAAACTCAGAGCCGCTCCAATTTAAATATTCTTGATTTTGGCGACTTGGACACTTTATTGTCAGTTTAACGGGTGAAATTATGCAGCTGCAAATAGATGAAGATGGATGAAAAATAAGAGGTTGAGCCGCTTTATGAGTGACGACGGCGACAAACGTGTAAAATGATGACAGAAGAGTTCGTCGGTGGGTTTTCTTCAATGTGCTTCATGAACACTTGTAGGTGATGGTCTGAATTTATTTGAAGTCATCCCCCAAACCTCTGCTGCTGCTTAAGACCTGACCAAAGTGTGTGTGCATGCATGTGTGTGTGTGTGTGTGAAAGTGATCACCACCAACACATCCTCCTTTAGCAGAAAGCTGTTTCCTGTTGGCGTGTGTGTCACATGTGCAGCCTAAATGTTCACACTTAAAACATTTATTGCCTCCCGTCCCTACAGAGCTCATCTCTCTTTCCTCTTATTTCCTCTCTTATGTTTTTTTTTAGTGCTTTTCCACCATCGTCGTCTCTTTGTTCCTCTTCTGTTTCATTCTACTCTCCCTTTCTTTCTTTCCCTCCCTCCTCTGCTTACATGTTCTTGCTTTGCCATCATTGTGTTTTTTTTGTTTTTTTTAGTGCCTCATTCAGCTTAACTCAGACAGAAAATCACAACTCGACCACAGACGCACACAGTTTGTCGTTCCAACGCCAACCACTTCCCTCCCTCTCTTCCTCACACGCCCAGCTGGCACACACACAAACACAACTAATAAAACAACACACACACACACAGGATTGTGTTTTTTTCGCTTAAAGCTCGAGTAAGCCGGCGAGGAGCAGAAGTGAGACGGGCGGCTGACCTGTTTGACGCGGTCCGGGTTGACGGTGGTCTGCGGCTGCAGGATGCTGACCGGCTCTGTCTTCTGGGTGCTCTGGGGCATCTCCCTCACCTTCTCGGCGATGAAGTCGTGGACGCCGTTGAGCGCCTCCACGGTGCCCTGGATCAGACACACTCGCTCTGTCGTCCCTGCAAAAACACGACACGCAGGCGGGTCAGCGTGAGGTCAAAGCTCCACGGAGATAAGACAAACGAAGAGGGGCTTTTTTTTTGGCCTTTGTGCCTTTAATGATAGCGCAGTGAGAGAGAGACAGGAAAGTAGGGGAGAAGAATGGAGGGAGGACATGTGGGAAAGGGTCATGAGCGGGATTCGAACTCATGACCTCCACATCAGGACTGTAGCCCTGCACATGGGACACCAGCTCAACCAGGTGAGCTACAGCGGCGCCCACGAAGACGGGCTTTTTGTTCCTGTAACGAATCATCGCTGCCAGAAATAAAACATCAAGACGTCAGACATCCTCATTTAGTCAACAGTTATTTCCATCAACTTTTCCCTCCCTCCCAAAAAAGTTTCTCTCAAACTGATTTCATTCATGCTTTCCTTAAAACCTGTTTCCACGCACGCAGCTAAAAGTTTCTCGTCCCAGTTCTGACCCGAACATTCAGAATTTTCTCTTTTCATCATTTTTTTATGTGCCGCTGAATGAAAATAGCACCAACTCATACTACTTAAAAAAAAAGAAAACAACAACCGTGAGATAAGAAAAGACACCAGGAACCTGTAATGATCCCCGCTGGGAAATTATACTGCAGCAGCAGCAGCAGCAGCAGCAGAGAGAGAGTCGCAGAGGAAACACAGAATTATCGAGAAACTGGATCGCAGATGCAACTGGAGGGAAACAAACGTATATGAAACGATGTGGGTGATGTTTACAGCACATCACTAATTACAGACTTGTAATCGCATATTAGAGACGTAACTGCTCGAAGCGCGTTGAGGGATTTTGGCTGAGAAGCGATTTGATTGGACGTCGTACATCCTGAAATGTGACGGAGCGAAAAAAAAAAAAAAAAAACACATGTAGAGAGAGAAACGTTTAGAAAACATCAGGCCTCGTATTTCCACCGCATCTGCTTCTCCAGAACATGTCAGGAACGTTCGGCTTATGCGGCTTTCCAGGATTTTTGTCCAGCGGGGAAATGAATTCCCTGGTCACACCGAGAACACGAGTCGCCGCAGTCGCTTCCAAACTTCTGTTTCGGTTTGAGCAGCGCGGTGACACATTTCTGCAGGTTGCTTCATCGTGCAGCCGTTTAAAACTCGCATCTTTAAGCTTCGTCGGCTCCAAATAAACTGGATAAAGTCCAACATGCAAATGAAAAAGTTGCAGATGATTCACGTTCTGCTACTTCAGCGGGAGGAAGTGGGATTTGTATTCAAAACATTTGAAAACACTATGATTTTAATGACAGACACGGCGATTAAAGTCAAGATTTGGTTCAATATTCGCTTCGTAACAGATTTAAAACATGTGCTGAAGCATCACCACATAAGGAAATCATCACACTGACAGTTTATTACCTCTGTCATGTTATGCAGCAGATCCTAAATTGCAGCTTTTCTGATTTGCTAATTGCACAGTTTCAAATAAAATCAATCAACCGTGCAGCCGTAGAATATAATGCACGTCCCTACATCCTGTATGTTTTAGTTTATGCACTCTTTGTTGTGTGTTTGTCCAGTGAGGTGCGACCAGACATGAAATGCATGAACAAATAAGTCGCACAATGACACTTTTTTAAAAAAAAATCTGTAGAAATAAACCAGAGAGCGACTTTAAAGGTGAACAGTAAAACATAATAATGAAATAAACACTCTGCAGCTCACCCACTGTGCATGTAAACACCATAAACACCTTTAAGTAGGTTTCACCAGTTTGTGAACATGTATGAGTTCTAATTTTTAATTACACTGCGTTTTATTGGGTTAGATTTTTTAGTTCCAGGCATTTTCCTACGATGTAGAAGTCCATTAGAAGGCTTGTTTCACTCGTCACAGTAAACATCAGTTGTTTATCGTTGTTGTTTTTGTCAGCTGGGATGTAAAGCTGAACCGATTCCTCACATTTTGCTCTTTTGCTGTATAATATCACTAAAACTACATCATTTGTCAAACCGGTCGCGAGCTCTCGACACGCTTACAAACAAGACAACTCTTCGATTTCAAGGTTCACGAGCCAAAAAGTTGGAAACCACTAATGTGAAATATGTGAGCGGCGGTTAAAGCGGCCGCCGGTATGTTGTGTTAAAGCTGGAATTCAGCGCGTTGACCTCACAGCAAGTAAACAACAGCTTCACCAAAATACATACGGACGGATACGTAAAGAGGAGACAAAGAGCAGAATCTAGGCCAATGCAAAGCCTCTCGGTCCAGCTGTATCTTAACAACACGCTGAAAGTAAATCTCTCTCCCTCTGTCTCACCCTTTTAGCATTTATTGTCCCTCTTTTTTCTCTGTTTGCGTTCTCTCTCTCTCTCCCCTTTCCTTCCTCTCCTCTCCCATCTCTCCCTTGATTCCAGTATTTAGCGGGATCCGCTCTTATCTCGGCCCAGCAGCGTGTCAGCTTCCTGTCCCCTCCTTCTCCCCGCATTGTTGGACCGGCTCGGTTTGGCCCGGCTCGGCACCTCTGCGGCGGCTGCACTGGCAGATCGAGGGTTGTCGCCACGCATGTACGAGGGGTACATATTATAGCATGTGTGAGGGCAGAGAGTTCAAGAAGCCATAAATAGGGAGCATTTTTAGCTTTAATTCAAGAAAGCAAAACTAAACGGAGCCGTGCTGCAATTATAACATCACAAAAGAGCCGCAGGAGAGAAAAAACTGAACGTATTTTGCAATTATGTTGAATCAAATTTCTGCACAAAAGCATGAAAATGAAAGTTTAATGTAGCGTTTGTGACGACGCAGGCTAAAAATAAAGCCCGCAGCTCATCAGGCATTTGCAGAATTTGGCTACCTGGACCTTTGCGAGGCCTGTTAGCATGACGGTGGTATTAAATCCTATTTTTACGGGCTGCTGACAGCGCTGACAAACGGCAGCTGAACGCTCCGGTGGGGTCGAAGCGAGCGGCGGCGGCGGCGGCGGCTACCACCGAACCTAAACATTAGCTCTCGGACGCTAACATTTTGTTTCTTCCTGCGTTTTATTCAGAGTGACATGACCAGCGAAGAGTGTGTGTGTGTGTGTGTGTGTGTTATATGTGTGTGCTGATACTGAGGAAACTGGGCCTCGCCTCTCCCCGACAGCTGGTGCCCTCTGGGTAATCTGGACTCATCCAATCAGAAGCAAGGATTAGCAGGCCATTGTCTTGGCATGAGAGTGTGTGTGTGTGTGTTTTGTTTTGCAGTTTGTGATTGTGTGTGTGTGTGTTTGTGTGATTGTGAGTGTGATTGCAGCAGAAAATGCCACTCTGTCACTGGAGATCACGCTGAAGCCGCCGTACAGCTGTGCCACTGCGACAAAGACCTGCTTAATTTAATTACAAAAATATTCACCCACAGATCAGCGAATACGCTCCGTACGATTTGAGGTGCTTTGTGTTGAATAAATGCACGTATACGCGGGTGACTGAACCCCTGACTTCTGCAGTTTCATAATCGTGGAGTTGTGCCTCCATAGCACAGCGCTTCTTGCACATTTTGGCGTTTTTCGCTTCCGGTATCTGATTTTACATCATTTATTGCAGCTACATGGTGCACAACAAAATAGCAAATGCAAAAAAATGCATTCAACTAACAGGCAAATTTATGTGACGTGGCAAAAACGCACCTTTTTATTGCACCAGATCAAGATGGTATTAAGGTGCTGCAGCATTAACATCAATCATGCAGTGAAAGGACTTCGTTTATACGGTTTCTTAGACTCAAAATACTCTTTTTTCAGCAGATTACTTTGTCCCGTCCTTTGCTGAGTCCTGAGAAAACGACCCGTCTGGCCAACGCGGTTTTAAAGTTTTAAAACAAGAACAATCTCTGTCTGTGACGGCGACGACCTCTTTCCATCCCTGCATGCCTGAAAACACCTATAACATAACGTTTCACATACACTGAGCACATGTGCACGCACAGGCAGACAGTCTGAGGTGTTTAAAAACTAAGACGAGCAAGAGGAAGGAGGTGGAACTCTTCATGAAAGTAACGAACACATGAGGATATCTTTGTTTTGGAAAATTCGAACATCATCGCTTAAAGTCTCCATTTCTGCGGACGACAATGCAACCAGGGCTCCAAAACACCAGAACGTTGTGGATGCCAGACTTAAAGTTAGTGTGGACGTGGCCTTTATCTGCTCCCTGCTCCACTTTGTTCACCGGCTATTACTCTGGATGTATGAGTTGTGTTTGATAACAACACCAAGAACTCACTAAATGTGACGTAACACTGAAACTATGAGCTCAGACTCCCTCAGTTTGTCATTATAGCCAAACATCTTTTAAGCATGAACACATCCGACCGGCCTACGTCTAAATGCTTTAAACTTACTGCACGTCCTGATTTAATCTGTCGCTACACAAAAATCTTGCTGTGACACAAACGGGCTGCCGCTCGTGTTAACGTTTGGAGGAACAGTTTCAGGAATTATCCTAAATTAATACGTGTTTCATTAACATTAGCGTGTCTCAGTGTCGTGTTTCCCTGCAGGAAACACACACACACACATGCACAAACACACACAGACTGACAGTCACAGACACACAAATGCCAAAGTCAGTGCCAACACAACAGAATTTATACATCCCTCAGCGACTGGGAGCGCGCTCTGTTGGCAGTCGGTTCTGTACTGGTGCAACAACGTCGTTGTGTGTCTGTGTGTGTCTCTGTGTACGACTTTTGCATTTCCCCTTGTAAAATGAACCTCATCATTTGACATTTTAACGGTCGAAAGCCGCTTCCAAACTTGACTTGCTGCAGCTGCTGAGGAAATATCTGTTCAATGTTATTAAAACTGCTGCGTTTACATCATATTTAAGGGAAAAAAAAAAACAGGAGGCAGAACAACAGTTTCTAGCTTTCTAGCAGCGCTGTCAGTCCTAATCGGCCCGAGCGAAGCGTGTTGTTTCATCGCAATGTGGATTACTACAACAAACATAAATCACGACGCGCATGTGGAGCCAATACCGCTGCA